GTGTCCCAGGCCGAGCCGTCGCTGCAGCGTGCAGACAAGGACGAGAGCGGCAGCATGAGGCTGGCGTGGCGGGGACGGCCCAGACAGGCTCGTGCGGCGCCAGGCTCCGCGCCGGGGCCTCCTCTGCGTCTGAGTCTCACTTTGAGGCAAGGTCGGGAGCGGGGTCCCTCTGTGGTGACAGCATCAGCCTTGGTGTTACTGGCACCGCCGCTGTTCCTGCCACTCTTAGTGGTGTGAGTTGTGTAGCAAAACCACGTTACCTCTTGCCATCCCCAAAACAGCAACTTTGCATGGTTAGAAAATCGTCTGGAAAAGCTGCAGACAGGCTGTGCAACAGCCTTCGCATCGGCAATCAAAGGAAGGGCAGAAAAGCATTTCTTCTGATAGGAGCATTGCCAAGAAGTAGCTCATAAGAAAACATTTTTCACCTTTATACTACTGGAAATAGTCCCTTAATTTCGCACTTTCTGCTTCCCTATCCATTACCTTTTACAATATGCCCTTCAGTAGATTAGTTACAGCACAGATGTGTATAAATTGTTGGCTGGAAACATAGTGACTGGCTCCCTTTAGCAGCTGGTGTCAGCAAGATATATGAGCTCCCTTTCCACTGTCTTTAGTGACCATAGAACCAAGAAATAATTGTTCCCCACTAATGAGAAGAGTCCTAATAGGAAAACTATGGATTCACTTTCAGATCTTGTTAATAGCAGATCATGTTATTCTGTTAGAAAAAGAAACTTTTTTTTCCCTGCATCTTGAGTAGGAAATACATGGCAACTATTGTTTCCCCGTCCGCCTATTAGGAGTTTATTTAATCATGCAGTAAATTTCATGTACAGATGCTAAATCTATTTTCTATGAATAGCAACATAATTTACCTTACAGTAGTGGTTGTAAAAGTAAATAATAACATGCCCAGAACACAGTGGTTTCTGTTTAGTCAAATTTTATTACTGATTAATGATTACTCCTTCCTTTACAAAAAAGAATGTTCTGTTTTGCTGTTTCATGACATGCATAGTCATAAAAAGCTACCAATTTTATTGGTACCTACAAAGAAGTAGTTCTGTAGCATTAAAAAGTGYGATTCTTACATGTTCTTGTAGTTAATGATAGAACTGGAAGGACCACTTTGACTTCCTTATTTATGGAAGAACCTGCTGAACAGTGCAGCGCATGTCTTGTTTGAGGTTAAGTCTTGAAGCTGTATTGCTCTCCACAAAAAACCTGATGAGCTGAGTAACAGAAATTCACACTAGCAAGTGTAAATAAAATAAATAACTTAAGCCTGAAATCCCTGTTCAAGTAACATTCCCATCAAAATCCATATTGGAAACAGGTGTTAGTGAGCACTCAGCATTTTTTAACAATATCTGTTGACATGAAAAAGCAGTTCCTAAATACTTTGCACTCTAAAAACTTCTTTCTTCCTTTCTTCCTTTCTTCCTTTCTTCCTTTCTTCCTTTCTTCCTTTCTTCCTTTCTTCCTCTCTCTCTCTCTCTCTCTCTCTCTCTCTCTCTCTTTCTCTCTCTCTATTTCTTTCTCTCTCTGTCTCTCTCTCTCTCTCTTTCTTTCATTTCATTAAAATTCTTGTCAAGTACAGGCACCACTGACAATTTGACTTAAAGCTTAGTTCCTGGCCAAGCCTGATTAAACTTGTGGAATTCTCAAAAAAAAAAAAAAAAAAAAAAAAAAAAGTGCCTCTGAAATTGAGATGAATACACTGCCAGAGTGTTCAAACATAATATATGTAATAACAGATGTTGGAATTGCAAGATAGACAATGGATGTTGCTTTTTCTATAGTATAACACTGTCCTATTGTGTATTGGTTTTGGCAGGAGATGACATAGAGATTAAATATAATTCTGAACATTGTCTGAAGTTGCAGACCCTGAATTATTGTGACTTGCCTTTAATGCTATTCCATTCCACTTAAAAAAAAAAGTCAGATGCATTTATATTAAAACTGAATGAAAGATGAGTTAGGAAAATAATAGAAAATAGAAAAAAATAGAGGCTAATCCCCTTCTAATTTAAGATTTTATTTCATTATTGCAGCCACAATCCTGTAAAGTTAGTATGTGTTCATTTGCGAGTGGGTCACTCTAAGAAAATCAGGCTCTTGGCAGCTATGGCTTCGCTTTCCTGCCATGTGTTATCCAAAAGCAAGGAAATTTGCTCTCTGAAAATATGTGGACTATTTCTTTCTAAAATAGTAAACTTTAAACATCTCTATTCACCACTTTTTTTTCCTTTCCTCCTTCCTCTGTAAAGACAATAACAATTTTGACTCATGTATGCACGGTTCCCTTGAGAATGAATCTAAAACGCTCTTTGAGTTATTCTATCATTGACAACACTTACATAAGTCAGCACAATTCTGGCCTGTATTTTTCAATTGTTTTCTTTTTCGCATTTTGTATGTTTTTCTCTTAGAAAAAATTCCTCTGCACTACTTAAGTAATAGACAGACAGGAATTGATTGCTGAATACCATGATTGATGTAGGTTTCCCTGCTCGGACAATAGTATTTGTGTGCATTGGCTGATACTCACACCCTCCAGATAACTCACTTCAACAGCATATAGAAATGTACATTATGACTAATTCAGCTTGTAAGCAGTTGCATTGTGATCTATCCAGTATAGGAGTTTTTGGCATTTTTTCAGCATTGTCATACACAGTTTATGTGTATATATGATTTAGATGACTTAATTGCACAAAGAGAAGATAGACKAGTAAAGTAAAACGGAAAAGCATTTTGTGAATTTCCTGTTTTTTTAGCACCTTGTTTGCAATACCTTTTTCCCCTCAATGAGGCACTCAGAAAATTACGTATCATATAGCACACATGCAGATCTCCTGTTTATTTCAAATTTTAGGACATTTCTCCATCTAATTATCTTAGAGCTGAATTGTTTTCTTTTCATCTGGTGCCAATAATGAAGGGCAGAGTTGAAATCAGCACTTTTCCCTGTTGTTTCCACCATGACATAAAGTGCATTAACCAAAATCTGGAAGAAAGGCTGAGCCGGGGCTGCGGGTCTCAGACTCCTTTAATGACTGGGGAGCTTTGGTGACAGTCGTAGGGCCATTACTGCCCATCCACCACTTGGAGACAATTTCGGAGTGCTTCATTTGAGCAGGCCAGTGCAGACAAGCGGATGTGAGCTGTAAATGCAAGTTTTCTGGAGAAGGAAGGCTAGGAGAGAAGGGTGCATGGGGTGTGCGTGTCCTTTGTGCTGCTGCCGCGTGGGACTAGCAAAGCCAGCGGTGACGGGGGGGATGACGGCCCCGGTCCTGCCCAGTTCCACCCGGGCTGGGGTGACTGTGACAAACATTGCCCTTGAGCAGGAGGCGGAGGGGACACAATTCTGCTGCCCCCGGCATCAGGGCTGCTTCCAGTGCCTGTACATGGGGTGACTGTCCTGCCATCGGGTGCTCCTGCCTGAAGGTTGTCACTTCATCAGGGTCTTTATGAGTACAGGTGGGTCAGAGCAGAGTAGAACAGATAAAGATGACAGTAGAAATATGGTACTGAAATAATAAAGCAACAATAAAGCGGAATTTACTGCTATGTGTGGAGCAAATTCCCTGTCACTTCCATGTTCAAAGACACTTTCATAATGATAAATATATAGTGTGATGGATTGAGCATATGAGTTCATGGTGAACTCTCTAAAAATATGAAGGGTAATAGACATCAGTATACACAGAAATAATAGCAAGAAGATCCATACCTTTTAAAACTTAAAACTTGCATRCAGCCATGCTGTTCAAGTTAGCATGACAGTATATATGTAATTTTTTTTTGAAATTACCCTCTTCAAGAAGATTAATRTCTTCGACTATATCAGCCTGAAAGTAGACACCCAAGAAAATGCAGCTTTTCTTCCACTGCACTTTACAGAGTCAGACCTTCTATACCATCATGCGCCCAGCAGTTAAAAGAACTATGCAGTATGTTCTATCCCTTTCTATAGTGCTACGTAAGTAAATAGCATCCTGAGACACTGCAACTTCAGGTAAAATTTCAAATAAAACATATTTAACAAGTTTCAAAGGAATTTCCTGGAAGTTCTACAAGGCTTAAAAACTGTATCTCCTAGCTTTTTTTTCAAGTAGAAATACTGAAACATTTCAAAATGATTCATTCAAATTTGCAGACCTAGTCAGTGGCCAAGGCAAAATTAAAATCTAGGATTTTTYATCTCCTGCCTAGTATAGTGAAAAACGAATAGTGCATTGTCTGAAATTGGTTTAGCAGGTAAGTGGGTTTATGATTCATGTAACACTAGTTTATTGTTTCTGCATTTGAAYTTTTGCAGATGTATTCACATAGGATATGGGGGGAAAGTGATTTTGAGTAATGATTTACTAAAGGATTGCTTTGTGTGTRTTTCTGTGTTCTAAGGCAAGAAGGGAAAAAAAAGGTACTGCTAATAATAGAGGTGATGCAGAGCAGAAAGTTGGAAAGCAGGAGATAAAATTGTGCAAGGAAAAGGGAGAGCCCTTGAGTTTCCTCCCACGTTTTCTGTTCACACCTTTCCATATCTATCGCAATTACTTTCTCATTCCTGCATCCTCCTTTGTGCAGGTGGCAGCAGAATGGAATGAGCTCGGTRCCTGGGGCCTTCACGGAGCCGCGCTGACCCCCCCGAGCTGGGCTCAGTGCGGCTCCATCCGGGTTCTTGTGAGGAGCATCCAGAGACTGCAGRGCTGCTCCTCTCCTCCTGGCTGATTGATGGAGACCTTGCACAAGACGGTGGGTTTGGGTTGTATCAGCATRAATGAAAACAGTAGTATAGATCTGTGATTTTACTTTGTCCAGTATTCGCAAAACCAAGATGTGGGAAGTGAAAATTGAGTCAGTAACAGGAACCTTGCAGGGACCTGGTTATATACTGAGAAATCCCAAGTGACGGGTTCATATGACTCTACCCTGTAGAACGTATATGCGTATTAACTTCCTTCCATGATTCATATCCAGTTGCACATAGATGGGGATGTAACTTGGTTTTTGCTTTGTAAATCCTTAGACTTAATACCTCTCAGATTTATCTCACTGAAATACTAAAATGTAAAATGCCTTCATAGTCCCCACTGATCCTCATYCCAGTTTGGCTGAGTTGCACTTGCAGGAGTAATTGGCACTGGCCTACTGCACTGTGAAAGCAGCTTAATGACATAGCACTGATGGTGGGATCATGAGGGCAAGACAATCCTTCATTTCCTTCTCCAGTTAGCTTTATAGGCAAGATCTTGTGGTAACTTAAGCCATTTGAGAACTGTAAAATTGAGAACTGTAAAAATACAGAGAAAAACAAAACAAAACAAAAACCCAAAGAGCATGCCAAGATTCTGATCTGTAATTAATCCATTTAGACAGTAGACTAATTTAAATAATTAAAAAAAGTTTTAATGATTAAAGAGATCAGAATGTGATACTACAGGGRTGGGAACAGGGGGCAGAGATGAACATTCTACTGTTTTTCCCACAGATGACACAGAACCTGAATTACAAGCTCACATCACAGCTCCGATAATGAGTAAACTTGAAAGCACTTGTCCTCAGCCTCCTCCATGCTGTTTTGTAAAGCAAGAATATCAGAATATCTTGGAAGGCACAGAAGTTAAAGCTGTCTTAGAGTTTACAAGCTTGTTTTTACAGAAAGAAAAGACTAATTCAGCAACTTTTTCCTTCATGTATCTTCTTAGCAGCTTTTTAAAAACTAGTAGTGAATTGTATAGGTGATTAGAAGAAAACAGAACAGGTAAAGAAATTTGGAGTAAATTTTTTATAAATCCACTAAGTATATGCTAGTTGAATTTCATTCTTAATTGCAGTGATAGCTATCTGGAGCAACTACGTTACCTTCAGTGGATCTAAGACAGAAACTGTGAACAATGTGACTCTATTGACTTCAGGAAATACAAAGAACCTGAGAAGATCTCAGTAGGTATCTATGAAAATTCTTGATTTACATGTCATTTGTTTTGATTTCATACCTTTGTATTTTCCCTACTACTTTTTAACTGCATATCAGCATGAAATCTGGAGCTCTGTGTTCATGCTCATAGCTCCATGCAAGTCACAAAAGCTGTGATGATTTGCACCCACTAAAGATCTGCTTACCAATCCTCCTGCACGTCCAGGAAATGAAATGTCAAAAAAATGGCATGGCTGCACATGTCTGTTTTATTYACCTCATCGGCTCCCTGAAGTTTAAAAGAACTACCAAAAACACAAGCTTCTATATGTAGAGAAAATTAAGTCTATGTAAAATATCACTACGTGTAAATATCTCGCATTTGTAAGAGCCTTTGAGCAATCTGAATTCCAGCCCCTAAAATGCTGTGATGGGCCAAGCTAAATGCTAACAATAATTACTGAAGCAAAGTCTCCCTTGAAACGAGACATAGGCTTTGTCTTGCAGAATTGCTGTTGAAATCACCCACATTTTGAGTCACCATCACTGGAAAGAAACATGCAGAGGTGCCATTCTCAAGTCCTTGGGCTGGAGGAAGAGCCAACAGGAACCTGATGAAATTCAGCAYGGCCAGAAGTGCCGTGCTGTGCGTGAGAGGGAAGCACTGCTTCCAGCTCTGCAGGCTGCGCCCTGCCTGCCCAGCGAGCAGCTCTCCTGCAAAGGCTCCTCGTAGATACATGCTGGGCATGAGGTGTCCATGTGCCCTGGCAGCAAAGGTCTGCAGCATCCCCAGGTGTATTAGCATGGGCACAGCCACTAGAAGAAGAGGAGTGATTGCCCCACCACTTGGTACTCATTAGACCATAACACTGTGTTTTGGGGCAGTTCTTCCCCCACTCAATACAAAAAAAGATACCAATAAACTGGAGCAACTTCAGCACAGGGCCACTGAGAGGCTGAGGGGATGGATCTTGCTGAGCCTGGAGAAGAGAAGACTTCAGAGGGGTTAATAGCAGCCATCCGGGAGAGACTAGAAGGTTACCAAGAAGATGGAGCCAGGCTCTTCACAGTCATGCATGGTGGAAGGGCAAGAGACAACAGGCATGAGCTGAAACAAGGCAGTTTCCGATTGACTTTAAGGAGAAACTTTAAGGAGAAACAGTGTGAGAAAAGTTGAGCAGTGGAGCAAGCTGCCCAGAGAAGTTGAGCAATGCCCACTGCTGCAGATTTTCAAGAGCAGACTGTATAAAGCTCTCAGTAACCTGCTTCTGACCCCATAACTGACTTTGCTTTCAGCAGCGGGTTGGACTAGAAATCTCCCGAAGAGCCTTCCAACTGAATTATCCTCTGACCCTATCCGATGACTCTACAACAGAAACATCTCTTTATCAGGGAAAGCTCACACTACCTTCCTCTCACCCCTGTTGTCAGCCCAACAATAGCCTGTTTTGAACAAGAATTTTACTTTGTGCCACTGCAGTCAGCCAGATTTTTTCATTTCCCGTGTCCCTGGTACAAATTAGAAAAAAAAAAAGACTAAATAATCCCAGTCATTTTTCTCTTATTGGTGGCTGTGGTACAGCTAAGAGCAACATCAATGGTAAAATCATGCAAAACAAATTGGGGTCTGTGGACATCAGTTTCAACAGAGCTATTTTGCTTTTTGAATAATGTAATAAACATGACATCAAGGCTATTAAAAATGGAAGAAAATACACGTTTCTTAATATAGTTAGGAAAGAAGAAATGTTAAAGTCTGATTACCMAAAGCCACTGAAGTTTCAGGACATCACACATTACACATAATATTGGTATCAATCCTGTACTTCAAGGCACGAGTTGATCTTCAGCTAAAGTTAAGCATACTGTCCTCTTCCTCTTGTCAATTATTGTGTAATTAAAAGTGACAAGATTTTTATCTCCTTCAAACATTAGAATTATGAGGGTTTGGATTAGCTACCCTGTTGATCTTTTGCAGAGCGGCTTTTCTTCTAATCACATCCCTCTCTGTCAAGCAGAGAACTTTTATATTGGAAAAATAACTCACAAGCAGTGAAAGAAAAATCTAAAACACACATAACCTTTGTACTGGAATAAGTATATGCAGTTTCACAAGCCACTCAGTGTTAACACATGGAAATTGGCACAAGAGACATACATTCATACATTTAATTTTAGGAGGCACACTGAGAAATATTACCTGCTTTATACTGCTTCCAACTCCGTAAAGTAAGCAGTACTTAAGCTACTTTTTTTTTTTTTTTAACAGATAGATAGAGTAAATCAATATAAAAATGCTGAAAGCCAAACAAAGGTGAATCGGCAGAAATAACTGCTGTGAGAAGCAAACAGCTACAATACCTGCAAAAATCAGGCATCTAGGACTCAAGAGAATGACATGACATTTTCTACATCTGCTTTTAACTGTGGGCAAGGTGGCTCCTGGCAATCATCACTGCATTATATAAAGTGAGTCATGGACAAGAGGAATGGCCAAACTGGTATTCATAGTGATGGACACAGCAGGGAGTAACATCTTGGAAGAATCCTCCAGATCTTCCAGAGCTAGAAACAAACCTGGCAGTCACAGATAGCAGGTATTTTTAA